GCGTCCCTCCGGGCGCCGCGGCGAGGGGGCGGCGGGGAGCCCCGGCCGGCGGGAGGGGACTATTTCCTGCCACCGGTAGCGGAGGAGCACCATCGCAGCGCGAGCAGTGCTAAGCACTTCCAGAGGCTTCCACAGGGGTTGGGGTCGCCGCTGCCGCCTCGGCTCTTGGGGAGGGAAGCCTGGGAGGGTACTCACTGACCCCGCCCCGTGTAGCCCTGCCGGGGGTCAGCAGGGGTGAAGAGGGGCCGCAAGGGAAGCCCCCGGGTGCATGCCCCGCTTCGCTGCCTCAGGGTGGCTACAAGGCGGAGGGGGGGGCCTGGGGGTGGTCGGGAAATGGCAGTGCCCCCTCCCTTCAGCCCTCTCCCCTGTGGTGACAGATACACACACACAATACCCAACAGGGGCGTTTTGGTCTTTTTTCTTTTTTTAATAGAAAACGGCAACTGTACAGACACGTTTACACAGACAAGGGATGGGAAAGCCGAGGCGAGGCCTCCCCCTGCAGCACAGGCAGGCAGGGGCGGCAGCCTGTGCGGGAATGGAATTGCCTCCTCTTGCAGCCCGCGGTAGGGCCTCCTGCCACACAATCGGAGGGGCAGGAAGAAAACAATGGCAGAATTACAAAAAAGTAGGGAAGAAAGGCGAGGGGCAGGGGAGAAGGTGGGGTGTGGAGACCTCCTCCTCCTCCCTCAGCCCAGCCAGGGTGCTGGCTCTTTATGTGGGTGGGACACAGATGTCTATGTCCCTGGGATGGTGCTGGGCAGGGCGATGTGCGCCTAATAGACAGCGGGGATGGCGAGGCTGGCTGGGGGCTTTCCCACCCGTATGCAAGTCTCGCCAGCAGGAGAAGTGTGGGATGTTTCCAGGCACCTCAGAAGGAGAGGAGAGCAAATCCCTAGCTGGCTTAGGGAAAAGGGCAGGAGAGGGAATAACACTGGATACCAGCCTCCAACTCTGTCAGAGAGGAGGAGGCTGAGAATGGCTTTTGGCCTGGAGCTGGGGAAATTAGGCAGCATGGGAGGCGACTGGACCTCTGTGAGATCCTGAGGGTCTTACACACACACACAGAGCATGGGAAAGGAGAAGGCACGTAGGCCTGAAGGCATCACACAGCCGAGCGTGGCAGGAGCCAGGCCAACCCTGCAGGAGTGGAACCGTCCCTGGGTGTAACGTCTGCCGTGGCAGTGTGATTTGGCAGGGGCAGGCGTGAGGTGTCATCTCCCCACGGCGCCGAGGTATCCAGGGCCTCGGAGGAGGATGCGGAGCCATCTCTCGGTGTCCCTGCACCCTCTGGGTGCTGCTGCTAGATGAGAATTCGGAACAGGAAGGAGACGGCAGCTCCCAGAGCCAAGCCCAGTGACAGGAAAAAGGCCATGACAGCTCCAGCTGTCTCCGCTTCGTGGGCAAGCACTTTCCTAGGGGAGAAAGAGGTGTCAGGCCCATCCTCAGGGATGCTGTGCCCTGTGCCCCACTGTGAGTTCAACAGAGAGGTGGGAGGAGGCCACAGAAGAGCCAGAAGCTGTGCTCCTCTGCAGCAGAAGAATGATAAGAGCAACTCCACCTCAGCCCCAAGAGCCTGGCTCCACATTATGGGCTCATAGAGAAAGAAAACATGCATGAGGCAAGAAGCCCTGAAGCTCCCAGTGCCAGGGACACCGGATGGCTCTCTGACTCTTGCCCTCCTGCACTGCAGCCCGCCTGGCTGAGCCCCAGCTGGGCTTCTGGTGCTGCCCGTGCTCCTGCGCTGGGCAAGGCTGCTCACCCAGTGGTGGGTGCTGTGCCACCCTTCGCTCCCCTCCAGACACCCACTGCATCCGGCCCCTTCCCCAGCATGGCAGGTGGGGGACATGGAGAGCCCAAACAACAGCTTCCTCATCTCTAGGATATGGAGGCAGAAGGCTGGAGATGGGACACTGGGGTTGTCCACCCTGAGGTGGTGTGGCGATCCCCCTCTGCGTCTGCATCCCCACACCAGAGCTGGGCAGAGCCAGACTCCAGTTGTGCTGCGGCTGGCAGCTGGGGGTGTAATCAACCCTTCCCCTGTCCCCAGCTCTTACTCACTTGGGCCCAAAACACATGCAAAGGCTGGCCAGGTAGCCATTGGAGATGGAGAAGAAGATCATGAAGACGATGTACCAGGCGTCATGAGAGAACACGGCAGGCAGGTAGTTACGGGGCTGCACGTTGCACAGCATGAAAAGGGGGATAAAGATGACACGGAGGGCCACCAACGCTGGCAGGAGGCAGCTGTCCTTCCCGGGCTGGGGGAAAAACACAGGTCACTGAGCGGCTGGGAAGCGGACAGTCCCCATCCCATGGCACGACGGCAGGGGCTATCCAGGGGCTGTCCCTTCTGTGCCGAGGCTGTGGGGGAGCCACAGAGAGGGCAAAGTTGCTTGAGAGACCTTCTGTGCTGCAACAAATCTCAGCCTCACCACTTGCTATTGTCAGGAGGCCCTACTAGGTCTGAAAGTCCTATCCCAGCTGACTTGGAGAGCAGCAGCACTAGAGCCAAAATACTGAGCTGGGTTTGTGAGCGACCGCTAAGCCCTTGCTGGAAACAACAGGCAGGCGGGCAGGAGAGCCTCGTGCGCCCTCACGCAATCTCCTCCTGTGGTGAACTGCGGCGCAGGACAAGGCTGGCTGAGGTAAATCCCCTCTGGCACCTCAGGGCCAGCAAACTGGGCTTTAACCAGCTCTTCAGCCTCCTACGCCATCCCCCAGCCAAGCGGGGCGAGATCCAGCAATCTGGGAAAGGGATTACGCTGGGGCTGTTTTGGACAGTGCTGGGAAAAGCACAGACCAAGCTATGGTCTCCTCGGATCCTAACAGAGTCTCTGAACATGTCAGGCTCAGACGGAGGAGAAGGCACCATCCTCCTGTGTTGTCCCTGCAGCTGGGACTGAGGCAGCCCCTGGTACGAGCCGTGCCTGGCTCCGTCTTGGGTCCCCTTGGTGAGGTGCCACAGTCACAGACAACAGGACTCACTGGTCTGGGGTCAGGAAAGACCCACAGCTGCCTTGGGAGCTGCGTGGGCTGGCGTAGCTGTGGGACACTTCACGAGCAGAGGGGAAGCTGAGGTTAGGCCAGTTGCCGTGCCTGTGGGCAAACCAGCAAGAGCAGCAACAGCCTCCCGTGCACAAGGAAGAGAAAAAGGAGCGACCGGGGCCCCAACCAGGGAAATGAGGCCCAAACCACATGCAGTCAGACTTTCCACATAGTCTTGTTTTGGAAACATCTCCTGCTGGGTCATCCCACCACGGAGGCTGCGGGCTGGACACCAGGCAACACGGCTCATGGCCAAGGCCGAGGGCAGCCAGCAGTGATGGCCAAGGAAGAAGCAGCTCCAGGCCCTGGGGAAGCCAGGCCTGAGCAGACCCCACCGCACGTGGTGCTGAGGAGTTTCTCTAAACAAACAGCCTGAACAATATGGGGGGAAATGGTGCTTGGGGGGGTTGGTGAAGGGGCAGGAAGAGAGACAGAGGGGACAGCCCCCTTCCTCGCCCACCCCCATCACAGCTCCCATCACCCAGCCCCAGCAGCTCTGAGCCAGGCAGGGGAGATGATGGCAGGGGGAGGTGGCAGGAGGCAGCTCTGTGACCCACACAGCATGGCTCTACCCTGCTCTCGGGACAAGGCTTTTTAAAGCAACTATGTCCCGTGCGGAGGCCAGGGGGTTTATTTTGGGCTGCCCTGTCTTTCACCCTCTTTTGCTGCCGCCATCCTGCCTGGCTGTTTGCATAGCTGGAGTGAACGTTTGTTTACAAAGAGGCTGAAATGGAGCAAGCAGCTTCATCCAAGCCACGCTGAAAGAGGGGTGGGAGGAAGACAGGACAACACTGTGGTTACCCATAAATCTCTGCTTAGGACTTAAAGCCAAGGCAGGAGTCAGCTCTGCACCTCCTTCCTCCACACCATGGATGGTGGCCCCAGTGAAAGCCGTGGCCGAGGGGCCTGGGGATGGAGACTGCCTGGGAATTTGCTCCCTGCCCCATGCTTACCCATGTGAGGAGGGCAGTGAGACTCCGTCCCATCCAGTCGAAGACATTAAAGAGCAGGAAGCAGGACACAGGGATGAAGTAGAGACCTGCAGAAGGGGGAGAAGGTCACTGAAAAGTCCAGGGTGCCCCAGGCCCTCCCACCATTTGCATGGAGACTTTCAGGTCTAGGTCCTCCTGGTTTCCCACTAAGGGCTTGAATGGTCTCCCAGCCAGGCCAGTGTCCACGTCCAAACCATCATGCACAGCTGTTTCCTCCTCCCCTCAGGCATACCTACTACTTCAAGCCCCACTTTCTTTTCTCCCATTTGCCTTCTTCCTAGTTTCCTCCTACCCCACCCCATCCCTGCCCACACTTACCCCATTTGTTTCCCTCTCCGAGGACAGTGGACACCTTAGCTGTGATGGAAGGAAAGACGCCGATGGTGACAGTGAAGACGAGGCAGACAGACAGAGCCATGACCCAGAGCTAGGAAGATGAAAGAAAGAGGCTGGTACCAAACACAGGGCAAGAGACCAGAGCGGGGCTGGTCTCCTCTTCCCATGCTTTCCTCATATCCCCTGCTATGAGGGGCAGGGCAGGGGTCGCTGGCAACTCACCTTCTTAAAAATAGCAATGACCGAGGGCTTCTCATCAGGGTTGTGGATAGGGATGACCTTTGAGTTATTCTGCTCCATCCCATTGGGCTCATCTGCAGGGAGAGACACAAGTAGGGCATATCAGACCCCAGAAAGCTGGGATATAATTTAGTCCTTCTGTCTCATTCTTCCTCTCAGCTCTTCCTTTTTTTTTTTTTCCTTCCTCTTCCCTCTCTCAGCCCCTCACCTTTCTTAATCAGGTCTCTCTTGGTCTCCAGCTCTGCGTTGTACACATGGTACTCTGTCTTGTCCTTCATGGAGTAATATCGGAAGAAATCCTGCAGAGAGAAAGCCACGGAGAACTCATTCATGTGTAAGAAAAGGCGGCTGCCAGGGGCTGTGTGGTAATAGCAGATGTGGGTGATACAGGCAAATGCAACATGGGCAAAGTATTCCTTCCACTTATGTCTGATACTGATGCTTTCCTGCTCACCCGGGGGCTCATTTCCACAGTATCCCAAGGATATCCCAAGGGGTATCTGAGGTGGGAAGTATCCCAGAGAGCTCCCTCGGGACAGGGGAGAGCTTGCCCTGAACTAGGAGGTGGAGGCTGGTAGAAGCTAATGCTGGGGTTCTACTGGGCCACGGTCGTTGTGCTGTGATGCACAAAGGTCCCATTTTCCCACACCCTTCCCCACCAGAACAACAAAGTCTCACCATGCGAGGCAGAAGGATGTAGGAGAAGATTGCCAGGACGATCGCCACACAGGCTGTGGTGAAGTAACCGATGAAGCTCTCAGGTTGCTGGGCGCCAACTGGGAGCACAAGAAGGGAAGAGATGGGGGGAAAAAAGGGAAAAGATGATGAGGGCTGAGAGGAGCCAGGCCCTGCTGCCATCTCCCATCCAACCCTACAGCGCGACCCCAGCAGATCCTGTTAACAGCAGGGCTCTGGGAAGGCCGTGTCACCCGCAGGGCAGGGATTACTCACTGGCAATACTGAAGATCATTGCCAAAGCAGCAAAGGTGCCCGCCAAGCCCTGCCCACTCATGATGGGAGCCGTGTAGCTGGCAGGCAGGAGCCCTGCCAGCCCAAAGAGGCTGCTCTGGAGGATGGCGCCGAAGGCTGTGAAGGGGAAAAGATGAGCAGAAATGAGAAACCAAAGGCAAGGATGGGCTGCACCTCTGCGGGGAGCCAAGGCCCCTGCCCTGTGAGGCAAGGCAGGTCCCCCTCCTCCTTGGATCTCTCACAGTGAGGTTCATGCTTTTCTCCCAGAGAGATTAGCCACAGCAATGGGGCTGAGCCCTTTTCCATCCTCCCTGCTGCCTCACTCACAGTTGATTAAGATGATGCTGATCATGGTAAAGATGAAGAAGGGAAGAGGCTCCATGGGGACCTTCACCATGATCGCGGTGATTAAAAACACTAGCCCAATGGCCACCAGGCTGCCTGAGATGCGGATCTGCTGGGGAATCCTGCAAGAGAAGGTCTTGGTGAGGAAAACTCACCCCACAAAAGCCTGTGAGGCCAGGGCCAAGCTCTCCCATGGGAATCCCAGCCAAACCCCTGAACAGGAGACTGGTGTTTGCCTTTGACTTGACTGAATGAGCTGTGGCTTGGCTCAGAAGGACGGGCCGGGGCTGGCTGGCCCTGTGGGGGCTGGCAGGGGCAAGAATGGGGCAAGAATGGGGCAAGGCTCACCGCTGGTGGATGAAGGAGTTGAGGCAGGTGAAGATGAGGAGGGGCACCATGGCGCAGAGCGTCATAAAGTTGTCAAACATGGACTGCAGGTAGGAGGGGGGCATGACAGCCCCACCAGTCAGATTCCTCAACTGGCTTGTCTCGTCTGGGTCCGCAAGGCGGCCGATGAAATACTGTAAGAGAAGGAGCCTCATGGGGCCGAGGTACTCCGAGGCCTTCCCCCAGCACACTCGGGCCACCCTTGTCCCCACTCTGGCCCCATTCACAGCCCAGGGCTCCTCCTGACACCTCAGTGCCACTTGTTCACCCAGGTCACCCATGCTTCTGGGTCTCCTGCATGCAAACACAGAGGGTCTATGCCGTGCAGTGCTGCCACACCTACAGCATGGTCCCTAGAGGTGACAAGAGATGATTAGTGTCATGGGCAGCAGCAGGAGGGAAGCTCTCACCTCCCTGGCAGTCATGAAGAAATTCCATGGCAGCAGCGTTCCCAGGCCGAGGATGAAGAAGATCAGCCAGACAGCCTTGTACCTGTGGAGAGGACAGAGCAGTTTGGAGCAGGGCAAGGGACAGGCATCTCTCCTGACTGTGCCCGACCCTGCAGCCAGAGGCACCGGGAGGACAGAGGATGAAATTTATTGCCGTGTCCCTGCCCCACAGCCCCTGCTAGCCTGGGCTGCCAGAGGAGACATGGCACTGCAGAGGAGCCATGGGAGGTCCTCCCTGGGAGGGTACGAAGGCGAGGAGAAGCTGGCTGCTCCTCAGCATGTGGCACCCAGATGCACAGCGGCCATTGCCAGCGCTGGGAGGGAGTCAGGCTCCCCAGGCGTTTCCCAGCGCCGGAGACTGTTTACAGCTTGTTTGCCATGGAAAAGCTGACGGAGAGAGCATCATCTCGGGGAAGGGAGAGCTCAGCAGCCCAGTGAGCACGCAGGCAAGGGTGTCCCCTCTGATGCTGGGTCCCCCCTGATGCTGGGTCCTGCTGTCTTCCCTGACCTCCCGGTATCCTGGATGTGCCCCCACACCCACCCCACAGCCCGGCGTTACCTGTCTTGGGGCCCGTCTCTTGCTGTCATCTTGTGCAGCAAGCATCAGCACAGGTCCCAACAAGTCTCGTGGCTGCTCTCCGTCTGAAAAGCAAACAGGATTTTAGTGGGGAGTGAGGGACGCAGGCCCGGCAGGGGCCCTGCTGGTTCTAAACCCCCTGTCCGTGCTGCCGGGTAAGTGTTCCATGGCACCGGGCGCCAAACAGAGCCCGCAAACGGCAAGAGCACGGCGCAGCAGCTCTGGAAACCTGTGGCTCAGAGTCCTTCAGCCGAGGGTCTGTGACACACAGCCTTATTCTGCCGGCTGGGGGACAGCAAGCCTCCCCTCCCAAAGGGAAATGGCTCTCCTGAGATGCCCAGGCTGCTCGGGGCCGGCTGCCCGGCTGCTCCACAGCAGGCTCTTAAGGGATTTGTGAGCCTGCAGCTCTCTCTGCCCCCAATCCCGGGGCTGTGAGCGAAGCATCTGCGCAGCGGGCTGCGTCCGCCCCCCTGCGCTCCCCACCTCCCTCCAACGCCCAGGGCACGGCGGCACAAAACACATAATTCAGCAGCTTCTCCGGACAGAACCACGTGAACTGCCCCCCCAGTTTCCAAATCCCGCTTCCCTGGGTCTCTTTCCTGGGTCACCTTGGAAAGCCAAGGGCGTCCATGGCACTGCTGTCCCCTCCCCGCTGCCTACCGCTTCTTTCTCCCCCATCACCACCTGCCCGGCTCCTGCCACCCCCCTGGCGTTGCACCCCTAGGACCCCCGAGAAGGGTCCTTCCCCCCCCCCACCCCCGCGGGCAGAAGGGAATTAGCCGCAGGCCTGCCTTGTCCTTTTCCAGTCGGGGCGTCGCAGCATGGGGTGCTCCGGCCCCTCTCCCAGGGCTTCATCTGCAGCGGGGCTGCCGGCGCTGAGCCCCCGGCCCCCCCGGGGCATGCCCCCCGCCGGCCTCACAGCATCCCCGCCCGCAGCCCGGCAGGTGGGGCGGGAGAGGGAGGGAGGGAGAGGAGGAGGGAGGAGGCATGGCCGGCAGCAGCATGCTGGGATCTGTAGTCCCTGCCGGTCCCTTAAAGGCGGCGGAGACCGTCCCCTGCCGCAGGTGCCCGCCTGGTTTACTTCTGGGCAGGGCTCGCCTCCCTCCCCCGGTGCCGCCCTGCGGGTGGTGGAGCCCGCAGCGACCACGGAGCCCAAACGTAGCTGGCAGGACCGCGGAAAGGGATTTGGGAAGCCCGCTGGCAGCTTGGAAAAGCCAGAGCTGGCTGACAGGTAGGTCTGCATGGGACAGAAAGCCCTCCCCAGCCCGGCAGGTGCCACCAGCTCGATGCCAGAGCCGCCTGCAGCACAGCTCCCCGCCTTCCCACGCAGACAGCTCCCGCCTCGCCCTCCTGAGCCACCTGGGCTTCCAGAGAAAACATCCCAAAATCCCCTCCCGGCAGCCTGCCAGTGCCTCCGTGGGCAGGAGACGCCCCGGGCCCTGACCTGGGATTAGCAGGGGGACCTGCAAGCAGGACTGCCACCTCCTTGCACACAGAAACCCTGCCGGGGCCACTGCTTGTCCCCCTGCAAATAGATCTCATCCCCAAACAGGCAGGAAAACCCCAGCCCCTGCCGTGGGTCCCCAGCAAGCCCTCAACACGCTGCCCCTTGCCCAGCCAAGTCACCAGCCCCCTTCCCCAGCCCCCCACCAGGTGACAACGGTGTCCCAAGAATCCGGGGCAGGGACCGACCCCACAGACATACCTGGGGAGGACAGAGCCAGGGCAAGCCCTGTGTTCGGTGTATTTGAAGGTGGTGTGTCCCCCCGCTTCCGCACCCCCCTGCTCTCAGGGTTGAGCGTCAGGCCCCAGTTTAGGTCACGGGGGCTGGGGCCATGTGGGTCTGGTGGCATCCGTGGAGGAGGAGAAGAGGTGTCGGGTACCACGGCTGGCACAGGGCCCGGGTCCCGCTGCCCAGGCGCCCATCCGCAGGGCCCAGGGAAGGGAGGACGGGAAGGGTGTCGTGGAGGAGGTGGCAGGAGGCAGGGGGGAGGCAGGGGGGGATTGG